GCGAGCCATTCATTCCAAGTGGCGTCCTGGGCTCTGGCCGCGATGGCTCCCTGGACGGAGAGGCTGTCCGGAGGCAAAGGGCCGCAGCCTGCTTCTCAGCAGACAGAGGCTTTCACATTACACTCCCCCTTTGTCTCTCGGTGCCATCGGTGCAGAGGGCTGAGGCCTTCGGGCAGGTGCTTGGTGAGGGCACCACGTGATGTCTTCTCTGCATGCGCCAGGAGGCCGGCCTGCTCAGGAACAGACAAGGCAGGCGGTTGGGTGTCATGCACTCCGTTACCCATCCATCCATCCATCCATCCATCCATCCATCCATCCATCCATGCAGTGTTGACTGAGTGCCTCTTATGGGCCAGGAAGCAAGAGTGGTTACCAAGATTGGAGTCACCTAGTGTGGGTGCCAAAAGGATGGACCACCTCGCTAAATGGGGCTTTGAGGAAAAGGTCCCCCCAGAATCAGGGAGACTGAGCCCTGTGAGGAGGAAGGCAGAGAGAAGGCCTTGCTAGCCAGTGAGTTCCCTGGGGGTCACCTCCACTCTTAGGCCCTCCATGGAGTTTGACCCCCCACACACACTCCCCTGGGCCCCTAGCAGGGCCATGAGTTCCCTTCCCGTCTCAGCTCGGTGCAGTGGTTCATCAACCCAGCATCCGAGTGCTCCGGGGAACGTGGGACGGCTGCATCAGGAGTCCTAACCCACCGAGGGGTGCCCCTTTCCCCCCATGTCATTACGACCCTGAGGACTGCAGGCCCGAGGTGCGGAGGAGCACGGCTCTCTCCAAGGGCCACCACGCATCCTGAGAAACAGGGTCACAGGGTTTGCGTGACTTCCAGTCCTCCTGCCTCCCAAGACATCGTCAGCCCTTGCCAACGCAGAAAAACAGACGTGGCTTCCTCCTTTGGAAGCGATTCAGCCCTGGGTGCGCTCTGCGCTCTCCTCAGCTGCGGGAAGTGCGACAGTCTGTTTAGAGCAGCTCTTGTCGTTCCCTGGCTCCACTTCCCCAGACACGCAAGGCATAATTCAGACTTCAACCTTTTTCGCGTTGTTGGGTGCATCTGCACAACTCGGGAGGGTGGGGTGGTGTTGCGGAGGCAGAAGGGCAGGGATCCTGAGGGAGGGCTTCCTGGACGGGGCGGCCGGCGGATTCCGGTGGGGCCCAGCAGTCACAGAGCTCGGCGTGGCGCAGCGCGGGCCTTGGCCTTGGCCTTCCCTGGAAGGGTCTTTCGCTGACCTCGTGGGGCCGAGGAGAGAGAGGCAAGGCACTGGGATTTCCACGGGGAACACAGGGCTCACCTGTCCACCAGCCTGCGCTCTGAGAATCGCCGCGGAACAGTCAATTATGGGGGAGGGAGATGCGGGGACTCTTCTTCCGAGGGCTCGCCCCAGTCAAGATCAGCACAGTGTCTTGCAATTATCAGTCACACTGGAAGAATTCAAGAGGATCATTCTAGGGGAGTCTGATGAGAAAAAGCAGATTCCAACGCTCTTAGGGTCCAGCGGAATGAGATCCTATGACGTGACATTATGAAACCAGGGTACTGAGTCACACAGTTCCTCCCCGGTGTGTTGAGGGCTCAGGAAGTGTCTTTGAATGTCACGAGGCCACCGGGATCCAGTTGATCTCCTCTTTGCTGTCTGGGCCTGACTTACAAAGGTCACACCCCGGGTCTCCTGACTCGTCCTCACGGAGTAGCGTGCTATTTGCAGACACTCCCCGTCTGTCTTGCAGGACTTTGCTCCTGGGCTTCCCCATGAGTAGAGGTTGCCCAGGAGGCGGGACGTTCCACGCAATACCCAGGTGACCCCTAAGGACCCTGAGAGGCCGGGCCAGCCCACCCACCTGCCACCCACCGCTCTGCCCTCAGCCCTCCCTGGGCCTTGGCAGCCCAGCTCCCACCTCCGCGTCCTGGCGGCCGGCCGGGCCCAGGCTCCGCCTCTCGGGTCCAGCCGAGGGGACTGTGGCCTTCGCCACCGAATCCAGAGAACGCTTTCCAAGTCTGGTTTCGCTTGTCCTCTCGTGCCTTGTGACCCCATGGGCCACTGCCTCCTTTTCTGTTAAGGTTATCTCACCTGTTGGTTTCCGTCGCGCCACACCGAACCTTCCGGGCTGTCCTCCCGTCTCTCTGGCCCCTCCAGACAGGCTCCCCTGTCCCCTCACCTTTGCTCCCATGACCTGCACCCGTCCCCTGCCTAATTGTGTCATAGCACTTACTCCACGGTCCTGGGATTGCTTCTCTGGGGGCACCGTCACCGTGGCTTGTGTGCGCCCTTGCGAGGAAGGACATCTCCATCAGCACATTCAGTGCCTGAGACATGAGGGGAACCCCGTGGTTGAACAGATTCGTTTCATTTTCCCTCTTCATCCTTTCTGTGTGGGATGTGCAGGTAAAAATACGAAAAAAGGAAAATTAAGGATTTGCTCCATCCTTCGGACCCATGAAATGGCCCCACCCCACCCCACCCCAGCAGTTCATTCAGGGGATTCAGAAAGACTTCCAGCCCAGGTTCCAGCAGTTCCCTGAGGGGACGAGTGGCCACTTCCTACACATCTGTCATGGGGCTATTCCTCAAAAGGAAGCTTTGGTCTTGAGCCTTGAGCGCGTTTTACTCTCGTTAACTGAAGGCTCCAGATGGATGGGTCTGTTGTCAACAGGGCTCCAAAGGAATGGAGATATAGATACAAGACTTGAACACCAATAAAAAATAAATTTATTTAAAAAAAAAAACAAGACTTTTGTCACTTCACTGCATCCAGTCAGCTCAACGCCCTAAAAGCAACAGCAACAGCACTGGTTAAGAAACAGCGTCACTCGGGATGGCTCAGCGGTTGAGCATCTGCCTTCGTCCCAGGGTGTGATCCTGGAGACCGGGATCGAGTCCCACCCACATCAGGCTCCGTGCATGGAGCCTGCTTCTCCCTCTGCCTATGTCTCTGCCGCTCTCTGTGTGTCTCTCATGAATAAATAGAATCTTTAATAGCATCACTGAGCTTCTGGGTTGAGAGAGGAAAGGAAGAAGGCCATGAGTTAGGACGCCATCTCATGGCACTTGTTCTTTTTATTCTACGTGGTGCCATGGGGGTTAATCCCATGGGCCCTGCGGTCTGATTTCCGGGGCTTGGATTCCAGCTCTACCACTTCCTAACTGTAGGGCCTTGAGCAAGTTCCCTGCTCTTCTATCCCTCAATATCCTCATTAGTAAAATCGGGGTGATAGCGTAGTATCGTCCTTACAGGGTTCTTTGAAGATTTAATGCAATTGTACAAAAAGCTCGGAACAGCGCCTGGAGGCATCTCATCACCAAAACTGGCCCCTCTTAACAGCCCCCTTACTAACACTTCCACGCGGTCCCCCTCCCCGTCCTGTCACACTCTACTGCACGTCCTTACTGAGCCACCGTCCCTCGCTAGAGCGTAACCTGGGAAGGGCTCCGTGTTTTCATCCCATTGGCCATCTTGCTGCCCATCATAGAGCCTGTCACCTAAGAGCAACTGGGGGTCACGTGAATGATGAGAATTTGCAATGATTGAATCCCCTTTTCGTAAGCTTATATGTCAACGATCAACCCGAAGTACTGCGTCCTGACGTCCTGAGGGCCTGAAACCACTTCGCCCCTACAGGTAACCCCAGTCGTCATTCCTGAATGACCACCGTGTGGCTCCTATGGTGAGGACTGGGCTCAGGCCCCTCGATTGCTGGTTTTGCAGGTCAAATATTGGCAATTTCAAATGGCCCGGTCTACGACTGTATTTTAACTCTAGCAAGGTCGGACGGGGCATTGACTCTCCCCATCCGGAGATGAGAAACCTGGGGTTCAAGCGGGGCAGTGGCTTGCCGAAGTCCCACCGCTAGCAGGGAGCGGAGGCAAGGTTGGACCTGTCCTGTCGGCCCCAGAGCCGGTGCCCTCGGCCACTGTGCAGTGGGGGAGGTGGCTGTCCCCAGGTGCCCTGGTCTGGTTCCGGAGGCAGAGCTCTGGCTCAGGAAGCTCAGAGTAACTAGAAGCACGAAACTGGCTCCAGCTCCTGACACCACCCCAGGCAGCCAGTGCGTCCTGCTGGGCGCGGACAGGGAGGAGGGGCAGGGGCTCGGGGCAGACCTCCCGTGCAACTTTCCTTCGGCCCATTTCAGACCATTCTTGATCGTCATTTTCTTGTGCACTTGCCGGCGTTGGCCTCAGGCCCTAATTACACCATCTTCAAACAGCAACTCGGAGATCTTTCTCGCTCAACACGGACTGGCAAGGTTTAATTTGTGGGAACATTCAGAAAGCAAAGCATCGGTTCAAGGTGCCGAGATGCGCACTGTCACCGTGGCTGTCCCCGGTGGGCCCCACCCGGCCAGGGCTTCCACGGGGCCCACGTTCGCTGGCTGGAGTCTGCGGCTCTGAGCTTGAGGCTTGCCTTTTTTTTTTTTTTTTCACATTTTTGAAGATGGACCAAGTCAGTCTCCGCCCCCTTTTCCTCTTAGAATGGGAGCAACTCTCCTAGTTGTCATTTCAAAATTACAGCATCCGAGGGATTACAATTTGCATGTCTTTCCCCGTGTGATTCTTAGACGATGTTTATTTAGGATAAACATATTTGTACAGCATCCGAGAATATTGATACTCGCTTAACTTTCAATACGGTGAGTTAAGAGCTTCCAAGCTAGTGTCACAGCAAATTGTCGCACAGGCTTTACTTCATGTGGGGTCACTTTGGATTCAGAAAGACCTGGGTTTGAAGCCTGACTTCATTACTTGCTGGCTCTGCGTCCTTGGGCCGATTTCTCCGCATCTGCAGGCCTGAGAACTCCCACCTGTAGATTGGTGGTGACAGCAAGCTTGTGGGTTGACGTGGGGATTTGGTTTCTCGATATCAGTAAAGCCCAGAGCCCAGTGTTTGACAGGTCAACACAAGCCCTCTGTCCGTCTTGTCATGTGCTCCTTGTCCCCAGTTTGGGAGAGAATTGGTGCCAAGCGAGGGTGGTCTGCTGACGGTGTCCTTCTCCCTCTGCCTTCTAGCCCCTGAAAATGCACTGCAGGGACTGTGCCCTGGTGACCAGCTCGGGGCACCTGCTGCGCAGCCGGCAAGGCCCCCAGATAGACCAGACCGAGTGCGTCATCCGCATGAATGACGCCCCGACCCGTGGCTACGGGCGCGACGTGGGCAACCGCACCAGCCTGCGGGTCATCGCGCATTCCAGCATCCAGAGGATCCTCCGCAACCGCCACGACCTGCTCAACGTGAGCCAGGGCACCGTGTTCATCTTCTGGGGCCCCAGCAGCTACATGCGGCGCGACGGCAAGGGCCAGGTCTACAACAACCTGCAGCTCCTGAGCCAGGTGCTGCCCCGGCTGAAGGCCTTTATGACCACGCGCCACAAGATGCTGCACTTCGACGAGCTCTTCAAGCAGGAGACGGGCAAAGACAGGTAAAGGGCCGGGGGGGGGGGGATAGGGCAGGGCCCCTGGGGAGGGCCAGGACCCGGTGCTGCTGGTGGGTTCCCCGCAGGCAGAGCTTTTGCTGGGGCTTTCTGTTGGGGCCCCCCTGCTCGGGCCACTGATAGAGCTCATCTGGAGGGTCCCGGCCACCCGGCTGCTCAATTTATAAGACGACATGAATGGAGCACTGAGACACTGTCTGGATCATTCAAGGCCAAGTCCCTGTTTTGGAGGAGCAGGCTACACAGCTGCTGGCTTCCCCTGGTAGTAAGTGCAAGATAATCACTTTATTGCACTTCCTTTTACTGTGTGAAAATGAACCAAAAGGAGGGGACGCGTTTATTTTTCCCTTTCGAAGCAACCATCTCTCCAGTGCACTGATGTTTACTGAGTAGCTACCCTTCCACTGGACCAGGCACTGGGGATATAGTCGAAAACAAGACAGATCTAGGCTCTGCCCTCCTGAGATATAAAGTGCTACCGGGTGGGCAGTCACCAGGTAGTGGCCCACGTGCTACAGGTCATGCAAGGGAAAGGAAATGGTGCCGTGACATGTAGAACAGAGGGATCCGCCGTAGTCTAGGGCCGTTTTCCCAACTATCAGGCATAGCTCGGTAATGGCACATGACATCAATGTAATGAGTCACTGTAAGATTTTTTTTTTTAACGTAGTGGAATAGAATGGGATGAAATGGAATGGAATAGAACAGACAATATCAGCGTTCATCACCCTTAATAAGTAGGGCAAACCATTGTTAAATGAAGTAACTGTTTGTACCTATAAAGATACACATCTAGGAGTTTTGGGAAGTAAGATGTTCTGGAATTAGGTAGTAGTGATGATTGCACAACCCTGTGAATATACAGACACTGAATTACACACTTTAATTTTTTTAAAGATTTTCTTTCTTTCATTTATTTATTTATTTATTTATTTATTTATTTATTTATTATTGAGAGAGAAAGAGCACATGTGTGCATGACCAGGGGAGGGACAGGGAGGAGGGAAAGGGAGAGAATCTCAAGGAGACTCCTCGCTGAGTGTGGAGCCCGACACGGGGGTTCATCCTCAGGTCCATGAGATCATGACTTGAGCTGAAACCAAGAGTTGGTCGCTCAACCGACTGAGCCACCCAGGTGCTCCTATTTATTTTTTAAGCTTTTTTATTTAAGTAATCTCAACTTAACTAGCCAGGTGCCCCTGAATTACACACTTTAAAAAATAAAGTGAAATGAAGACCATACATGCGCGCGCACACACACACACACACACACACACACATATATGCTCAGTCATGAGGTAAAATGTATTTCTCATTATATATCAAAATATTTTGAAAAGCACTGGTCTAGGAGATGGGGGCATGAGGAAAGGGCTTTCTCAAAAGGATGTAGTTAGGCTGAGACCAGGACCAATAAGTATTTATCCAGGTAAACAAGGAGCTGGAAGGGGAGAGAAGCCTCCTTATGGGCACAAGGGCTTGAGGTGAGAGAACATGCAGGCGGTTGGAGAAAAATCCTGTGTGGCTACAGCTGGGAGGGCTACAAGGAAGGGCCCTTGACGAGGCCAAGATGAAGGGACATGAGCTGGCCCGATCTAGGTGAAAAAGAAAGAACAGCGAGGTATCCCAAGGGGTAGTGCAGTGTAGCCCAAATACACAGCCCAAGGCTGGAATTCTGACTCTGTCCTTCACTAGTTGTGTGGCCTTGGACAAGTTATCCAACCTTGCAGGGACCTGACATGTGAAAAGGGCATAATGACTAGCGAGGCTCATAGGACTGGCCTGATGATTAAATTTGTGTCCTTCCTTCTAAACTATGTAATTTTATAGTTAATATACATTCAGTGATGTAATTTACCCCCTTGCCTTACAAAAACTGTTGCTGAGTTGATTTCTTAAAACTAAAGGCACGTGATAAACGAAATGAAGATCATGAAGTACAGAATCTATGGATAGGCTAGGTTGGGCAGTTCATTGTCAGTGAACAGGGTCTTAGAGGAGGACCAAACCTTCACCCCAACTTCTTTGTGTGGAAGACCTTTCTTTTTAAATCCTGGAAACCTTGTGACCGTTTGAGAGCAGATCTAGGTAAGGGTAAGCATGGCATCTGGTGGACAGAAGAGTGGGGAGGGCTGGCTGCTGACCCTGTGGCCTCCTTCCCTAGAGGCCCAGGGGACTCCATGGTTAGCCTCGCCAGTAGATCACACAGGGGATCCTGGTCATCATGAAATCCAGTTACTTACTGCCCTTTAAAAACCGCAAATAAGAGAGACTGTCACTCACTTGAATGAGTTATTTAACCAGCAGAGCATTTTATAAGGGAAGAAGAATGAGAGGAGTTATTTACAGTTTCATTTTTGCTGGTTGGAAAATGTGAAATAAGTAGCAACACTCTTCAATAGAAAACACTTTCCCTCTTTTCAGCTTAATGGTTGTTTGCTAAATTTAAGAATTCCTGAAACACTGCTGCAGTCTAAGCTATTTAAGGTAACTACACATTGCTCTGGATCTTCTTAAGGGATTTTTTTTAAGTTGATAACTTGCAGACCATCATTCTACCCTGTGGTCACTTAGATCTGTAGGAAACACACTCACGTGGAGACATACCCCATTGACTAAGCTTATTAAATTCTGACCACTGAAAACTTTGTTCAGTGAGTCTGTCTTTGTGGATTGGCTGCTGGGCCTCTCACGTGCATACATCCATCTACTAGGATCCATACATTCCCTCTTCAGGGGGATCACACGTCTGGATTTGCAGGGTGCCAAACTTCTGGAATCTTTATGCCTCTTCCCTTCAGGAGACTGCCTTAAAGACGCTAATGTTGTACTGACTCAATATTCTCATGTGTCCACTTTCTTAACCTGGCTGCTCCAAGCTAAAAGAACCAAGTGAGAAATAGCCCTTCAGGACAAACATGTTTCTGAAAATTAAAACACAAAACATTCGGGGGTCTAAGAGTATTTCTTCTCTCTCTGCTTTTCTTGAAACCCAGTCAAACAGGAAGATGTATTACAGGTACACAAAATGTGGAAGGTCTAATTTTGTACATCTCATTATCAGGACATTCATTTCGGGCTATTATTTTGGGAAAAAAAAAAGCCCGGGATAATTCAATAGATTTTGATTTATAGAAGTTTCACCGTTAAAAGTGGAGAGGGGAAAATGGCTCAGGAAAAATCTGCAATTAAGAAGCATGACAAATGACAGAGATGGCCAAGTGGTATTCTTTGATATTAGAAAGTAACTGTACTTGAAAATAACTTTATAATTGAATAAGGGTATATTAGGAAAATATGATTCAGAACCAATATTATAGTAATTAGATAAAGGAAGCATAAATGAAATAACTGCAGGAAGAATATTTCCATAGAGATTATAAATGAGATTCTGGTGGAGCAGAAAGGCCTTTAATTGTAATTTAGTGTGCACTATAGAATTATCAGCTCAGTGTGTTACTTCATCATATAAAAGAATATCTGATAATTTTCCCTAATAAGCACATGACAGCTCTTCATATTCCTTCATTATAGCTGATTAAGTGTAAAAACAGTAGATATTCCTTTGTTGGAAAAAGAGTTCAAATCTTTTTAGAAAGACAGCACAAAGCGGTTGCATTTCGATAGCACGTGATCCCAACAGGCTATTATTTAAGAAGTCTGGGGAATTGTAAGTGGCACTTTAAAGAACTCTTCACTTGAGTTTCTTTCGTCCTTCACTTTGTATCCTCCTCCATTTTACCCTTGAAACCTTTTTTCTGTATCTCTGGCTGTGCCTTACGATCTTACCGTATCCCACAAAAGAAAGCCAAAGGAACGGGGAGTTTCTACCCCAGGGAGAGCCCTCTTGAGGCTTTTGACAACTCTAAAAGCATAGGGACGTAGCCTCTTCCTGGGCCTCACGAGCTCCCAGTTATTTGCCGACCCAGTATGAGTCTGGAACAACTGGCCGTTGCACTGTCACAGCCACACAGGTGAAGAATCTAACTTGAGGCAAGAGACTTTCTCCCCTTCTCCTTCCTCTTTTCCTTCCAGCTAGCTCTGCTCTGCGCCCCCTCCTTCAGGCCCAGAGTCCTTTTTTCCCCCTTTTTTTATTTTTATAGAGAGTGAGAGGGGCAAGGAGGAAGAAAGAGAGAGAATCATCCCAAGCAGGCTCCATGGCCAGCACAGAGCACGTCACAGGGTTCCATCTCACGACCCTGAGATCATGAGCTGAGCCAAAATCAACAGTCGGATGCTCAACTGACCGAGCCACCCAGGCGCCCCAAGTCCCAGGGTTCTTATGAATACACAGCCCTGGTGAGGAAGAAGAGGGTTGTTAATAGCTATCGAGGCTGGAGGCTCCAGAAGTTCATACATACTGCCCTGATGATTGAGGATGGATCCTACCCCAGAGCCAATAACAGAGTATTGGATGCTAAAAAAACAAAAAACAAAAACAAAACAAAAAAAAAACAACCCACTCTGAAAGTAATGGCTGAATTATTTGCTTCATTTGCTCCAATCTGGCAACCGAGAGAGGAGGAAGGGGTGTTGGTGTATCAGCACACCATGCTAGATACTTTTTATAGGGTTCTCCCATTTAGTCCTCCAAGTAGCCCGGGAAGTAGAGCTTCCCAGGCCAGCGAAGTCTGGGCTCAGAGATTAGCAATAAGCTGCCTCACGGGTCATGCTGCTGGCCAGTGACGGAACAGCCAACACACAAACTCATGCTACTTCCATCTTTAGAAGCTTTTAAAATGCCCTTCCTGGGTTCGTATGAGGTGGGGTACCATGGAGTGGAAAGCTGAAATGAGTAACAACATGGCTCAACGACAACAGAGGGGAGGCCATGAACCCAGGAGTAACTCTATCACCCATTCGTGTCAGATACTTGACAAAACAAAGGACTCTTTAATATGCCTCTCTGGGTTTTTTGGGTTCTTGTGGGGTTTTTTTGGTCCATGTGTGATTTGGAAATCATGCAAACTGATTAACAAAAAGTCTTCCCCCTCAAAGTGGGGCGCTGCACAGTGCAACTGGGCAAGCTCCTCGGCACCTCTTTTATGCACGTCACATACGGTGCTGAGGCCAAGCAAAGTCAGATAGTCTGACCTTGGGGATAAGGTGTTTGAAACTGGCTAATGAGGCATGCCATAAGCACTGGGGGAAAAAAAGCAAAAGCGGCAGCCCCCAAAGAATTGAAATTAATATCCACAGCAGCAAAGCATGGTAGACCGAGTTATCCTCAGAGGGTCAAATCAGACCGTACAGTCATCCTTAGGCCTGGCACGGGCTGGAGCGGAGGACAGGTGTTTGAGTGGGCAAATGAATGAATTTAGCAACACACAGGTTCATTCCTTAAACTTGGTCGATTCGGTCTTCTAATGAAAAGAACTTTTCGAGGGCTCCGGATATTCCGAGGTAAAGTCAAGCAAATGCTCAATTAGGCGCACGCCATCGCTGTGCTCTTTTTCCTCTGGTAACCTGCCCCTTCCCAAATGAATGTACGCTTCCTACGGAAAGACGTGCAATCAGGTTGTCCGAAAAAAAAAAAAAATCAGGGTGTCCGTGTTAATGAGTCTCATTGAAGGCAAGCTTTTATCCTAAGATTGTTTGATCGATCAGTAGATATCAATCAACAGACAGACACACGTGTGTGTTTTTACATATTTAATAAGCTCTTCCCTCTGTAGCCTGCCTGGGGAACAAGGACTATTTCCCATGAGTCGAGTATTCTAATTAATAAAGAAAGAGTTGACACATGGGGATTGTCATCTTACAAGAAATTGGGCTGCGGGCACATGCACTTAAATCCTGACACGCCGGTCATCATCTTTGATGATGTGGAAGTCGTTGAGCATCCTTTCGTGTCAGAATCCACCGTGATAGAACCGGAATATCATTTGTCACCTTACCATGGAATAGGAGGCTGTTGGTAAGAGACTCCTACCTGGTAAAGTTCCAGCTACTTGCCAGCTGGATAGACAGAGGAGGTGTGTGTCAAACGCCAGCCTCGCTCCCCAAAGGATTTAAGACGGTGATGGTTGTAATGATCACTTTACCAGCTTGCGGACTTGTTGTTCCTTCCAGGAAGATCTCTAACACTTGGCTCAGCACTGGCTGGTTCACCATGACAATCGCACTGGAGCTGTGTGACAGGATCAATGTTTACGGCATGGTGCCCCCCGACTTCTGCAGGTAGGATTTATCCTGCAAGTGTAATTCGTCAGCAGGGCTTGTGCGGGGTTTATAAATATCTGATTCCAAATATCAACCCTGAGACATGTCTAACTGTCTTCTTGAAGCAATTAATTAACACGTCCCAAGTTCTGGTTCTAGAAACAACAAACAGCATTTAATTATGTGATATAAAATATTGAAAGTTTTTGTTTGTACTGCTGGAGAATTAATCCATCTTGTGGGCTTCATTTATCCTCTGAATATTTATCACCCAAATGTAATGCAATAATTGGCATAATATTAATGATGAGCAAGCATTAAGGAATATTAGTTTTATCCTCCTTTGAAAGGGATGCGGTAATTTTTAATGAATTAAAGAGGGCAATTTCTTTGACGGTAAGGCCTGTTTTCTCAATTAAAATATTGCTCTGAGCCTCTTTTCCTCCCCACATCAGTAGCTCCGGTTTGGGCTTCTAAGGCCAAAAGCACCAGCGTAATTATTTTGATGTACCACTTCCGAGGGAACAGACGCACATCTCTGCTGCTGCCTTACGTCCCCTCGTGGCGTGTGCCCGGCCGGGGTTTGGTGTGTGCTAACGCACGCACTGAGAAATACTCAGGGCCTCATTTGTGGGAGCCTGATTGAAAATCCACCTGTGACGTAAAGCAGCGATGCCAGCACCTTCAGAAAGTGTCCTGCTTTTCAGGAACGCCTGATGACCCGCACAAGGCCTCGGTCCTGACCTTCAGACGGCAACAGCGAGGGTGAGGGCATTAAACTTGCTCGTTAAAATCCATGCGTGCTTAGACCTTCGTGTGCTCGAAACCTAACAGCTCTTGAAGGCCACGTGGGCCTTTACCGAAGTCGGCAATTTGGAGGTTGGATGCCAGGACGAGAGGACTGGGTCACGCTGTTACCCTGCGCCGCTCTTCCCACGCTCTCCTTCACCCACAGGCCCAACACAGCAGCCGCACCAGTTTCTAGGCAAGAGTCCAGTTGGGCAGGAGCGTCCTCGGCTAACTGCCTAGGCCCACTCGTCCCCAGGAGCGACGTGATGCAGTGAGGAGGGCTGTGCGTCGTGGAGTCGGACGGCCCAGGGTCAGCGCTGCACCCGGCCGCCTCCTGAGTGTGACCTCGAGCGAGTTGTGCAGTGTCCCTGGGGCTCAGGCTCCTCCTCGTCAGAAGTGGACGTGATGATGCCAGTAGGACTCAGCCCCGGGGTCGTAGGTGGTCAGAGAAGCTAATACACAGAAAGCGCTTGGAACAGCGCCTCGGCCGCCGCAACGGTTGGCTCCCGTGGCTGCGGATCCACCCGAAACTGTGATGGACGCAGCGCAGCCCCTTGGGGTCGCATGACTTGCGGACGGTACCTAGCACCCGAGGATGACAAAGCGACTTCTCGGTCCTGCTGCTCGTCCACCCATTCCCTCCTTTTGCTTTCACTTGGAAAGAAGTGGAGAACTACGCGGGCCGAGCGGGGTTGGTGGGTCATGAGCTCTAGGACTTAGGGGGGTGAGATACCACCCAGGCCCTCACCGCTCACTCACTGGCCTTGTTTCCCTATTGAGCAATCCATGTGCAAAAAGAAGGTAGGAGAGCGTAGAAAAAAAAGAAAAATCGAAGCCACTGCCTCCTCCACCCACCAGGCTGACGAGGGCGGGAGCGGCGCTCGTGGACACGCAGACAGCGGCGGCGTTGACAGCCCCGTGGCAGGTGTAATCATGTAATATTGCCATTAGGACGCCAGAGAGAAAGAGCATGAATACATTGAAATGTTAATGGCTCCGAGTGTTCAAGGAAATATTCCATTTATTACGGAAAACAAATGAAAGGCAAGTTAACCTGTCACTTCTCTTACTCTGAGTGAGTTCATCATGACGGCGCCAACGAGGGAGTCGAGGCGCTGTTGGCCAACGGCCTGCCGCGCCCGGCTCCGGGGTCCTGCTCCCCAGCCACCGTCCCAAAGGCTCCGTGGCCGCTCCCCCGGGAGCTTTCCCCAAGACCTCCCCAGGGGGCTTCCTGCACACCACGTCCGTCAGAGCAAGCGGGGGGTTAGGGGGTCAGGCTGCGGGGAGCGCGCGTCCTGGTCGGTCCCAACTCCTGTTGAGGGAGGCAAAGGGGGGGAGAACCTGACCCCCCAGTTCCTTTAACCTTCCCCATTAGTTGCCCCCCCATCCCGGGGAGAAACTGGGTCACCTTGAGCCTCGCTTCCCTCATCTGCAGGATGGGACTAAGAAGACGGTGATAAGAGCGAGCGGGTCACGGTGATAGGGCCGAGATCAGGGATGGACAGTGTCCGACAGCGCGCCCAGCACACGGGTGGCGCTCAGGAAGGGCTCTTAGCCGGAGGACTGTGACTCATACATCACACGTAAGGTATAAAATAATAATAAATAAATAAATAAATAAATAAATAAATAAATAAATAAATATAATAATAATAATTATCAGTTTTCCTCCGTATGCTGAGAGTTGCCTCAAAAGGTACCAAGAACTTGGGGGGCCTGGGGGTGGTTCCAAGAATAGGGCACAGCTCTTGCCTCCCAGAAACTCAGAGTAAGCTCGATCCACCGAAACTGTGATGGACGCAGCGCAGCCCCTCGGGGTCACATGACTCTTGCGGACAGTACCTAGCACCCGAGGATGACAAAGCGACTTCTCGGTCCTGCTGCTCGTCCACCCATTCCCCCCTTTCGTTTTTACTTGGAAAGAAGTGGAGAACTACGCGGGCCGAGCGGGGTTGGTGGGTCGTGAGGGTGCACCTGCCCCTCCTGCCGATTCTTTACGCTGCCCAGTTGCTCCCTGGACTGAAGAGTTAGGCTCCTGGGGCCAGATCAGCAAGCAAGAAAGAGCCAAATGCTCATTTTTGGTCAATTAACTTTTTCAGACCATGGGACACAACGAGTATCCTCGAAAGGGGTTATTTGCCAAATTAACCACAGAGACATCATTCGCCCCACCGAGTCGTGTTGGGTGCGGAGGACATGGTGGGAGGTGACAGAGGGCCTCTGGCTTTGGTCTCCTGAGGGTCACCTGGATGCAATTCAGTCAAAAGACTGTTGGGCCCTCCCGTCCCCGCTCCATCCAGAGCCCCCCGCTTCTCTGCTTTACCCTCGGCCTCGCAAGACCTCCGACCTCCTCTGGCCTGAGCTATAGTCCTGCTGCTTCCCCGTCTACACCCAGTCCTGCCGCTTCCCCGTCTACACCCGACTGGCACACGCGTTCCGGGAGCATCGAATCATTGCCTCTGATTGCTGGGGAAACCAAGGCACAGACAGACCCAGAGGGGCCCGAGGAGGGGACCGTGGTACAGCCAGACCATCATGAGTGACCGGTTCCCAAGACACGGGTGGATGGGGCGCCCCACCAGCCTCGAGCTCCCGTCTTCCATCCAGCTCCCCTGGACCTGTCCCACGGGGCCCGGGTGACTTCCGGGGGTCCCCCTTGGGCCAGAAGACTTCGGGTGGCCCGATTGCGCACATGGGTGCCTCGGGAGGCACGACGGCCCCAGGGCACAGTCCTTCCTCGGCCAGTGCTGCCCCAAGCTCCGGCCGCAGCCCACTCTGGCCTCCCTCCCTGCGGGCCATCACGCCTGCTCCCGAGGTCACGCCTGCTCCCAAGGCACACGGGTCTCCGGGGCCTGGCCTCCCCGTCTGCCTTCACCGCCTCCTCCCTCCTCACAGGGCCCCCCCCCTCCTCCATCCTCACAGAGACTCCCACCCCCCCCACCCCGTGCAGCCCGTGCAGTCGGGACACCCCCACCCGCACCCCCAGCACCCCCAGACCCCGGGGCAGGAGGCACCTGCCAGCGATCGTCTTGTCACCTGCGGTGGTGACCTTGATCGCCGGCCAAGTGGTATCCACCGTGAAGGTATTACTTTTCCCTTTGGTTGTTTTTTTTTTAAGATTTTATTTATTTATTCATGACAGACACACACACAGAGAGAGAGAGAGAGAGAGAGAGAGAGAGAGAGGCAGAGGGAGAGGCAGGCTCCATGTGGGGAGCCCGACGCAGGACTCGATCCCGGGACCCCAGGGTCACGCCCTGGGCTGAAGGCAGATGCTCCACTGCTGAGCCTCCAGGGTTTTCCTTTTCCCTTTGTCATTAATAAAGGTCTCGGGGAGACCCTTCATGCCAATACCCTGTTTCCCTTCGGCGTCCTCCCCCACTAGGGCTCCATCCGTGGGCGCCCCTTGCCCGGACAACCACGGGGCTGTTCTGATGGCGATTTCTCTGTCCCCTCCTCCTCTCCGGGTTGAACTCTTCTTCTGCCAGGAAATGCTCTTTCTCCTTCCTCACTTATTTCCAGATTCAATTATTTATTGAAATCATCATGGACTCATGGATCTTTCCTTTCTTTTACGGGTCTTATAACGCGATACTACCATTATTTATTCTGATGCTGGAACCTAAGGCCCCTTTTCAAATCGCCTTGCCTGGGACCCTCCCCAGATCAATTAAGCCAGGTCGGTGGAGGTGGGACGCAGGCAATGGTTTGTCCCAAAGCTCCCTGCTGCGCTGAATGTTCGTGCTTTCACTACCCCCCCCCAGCCCCCCCCCCCGCTCCACTCTGCTTCCTCTCTAAAGAAATATAAATCCTTTTGTACATTATTTTTGCAGGATTTATTCCCGAGGTGGCCCTTGGAGTGCTGATGACAGGCCACCGCCGCTTGGGAAACGGGCCGCGTGCTTCTCCCCGCCCCTGGCCCCACACCGTCACTCCCTCAGCGTCCCCAGGCCCCCAGACAGGCACTTGGGGCCAATACCTCCCTACCAGGGTGGCCTCCTGGCGTGGCAGTCCTGCCGCCCTTAATTGCTGTTGGGTCAGGTGGTGGAAGGAAAAGCCACGGCAGCCTTCGGGAAGTCGGGTTTGAGAACAGACCCAGGGAGTCCTGGCCTTGCACTGGGAAGGCCTTCCTGCCCGAGCAGGGGATTATGGCTGGTGGCAGGCCTTCCCCGGGGGGCCTGTCCCTGCAGTTGCCTTGGCTCTGACCTCGCAAGGCCCGCAAAGCACTCCTCTGCCGCTTGGACAGAGATTTTTAAAAGTGTGGAAACAACCCCTTATTTGGACCCTTTGGAAATCATAACAATCAAATGTGTGAATTTAAGTCTCCCTTTAGGTGATCAATAGGGAGCCAGATAAGTTTTCATTCAAAGAGAAGGTCTTCTTGAATCAGGAAATCGATCTTAGGGCATCCTTCCGCTGGTTTCCAATTTCTCTGTATTCCTAGGTGCCAACTCAATCTCATGCTATTTTTAGAAGCCTAATTGTTTCTTTAATCAGATTGATGCCAGTAATACGTTCAAAGTGTAGATAAATCAGATTTAACACCTGATTCGTGTTGGACTAAAAGCTTAACCCCCAAGTAGACCGTGGCACAGTGAATTTGGCATGGTTCCCCCAAATTGTGCCGTATGACTCTGGGGCCACTTGCCTCACAAACTATCTTTTCTTGTTTACTCTTTTCTCCATGGTGGCCAGTTCCAACCTGACTTCTTCCTAGAATGCATTTTCTGACTCGAAAATACCCTCTATTAAAATTCTAAGGGGATTCCTATTTCTGAAGTAAGTGAGTGAAATCTTTATTAACCAGACAGGCCCGGATCTGAAGTTTCACGGTGGAACAGAGGTACCTCTGAGATGTGATAGAGATGCAAGGGATTAATTCAGCATAGCATCCAACCCAGGATGAGGAACGCTTAAATGCTGCATGACGAAAATGAATCTCTCTTCCTGGAAGAACTTTAACCTCAGAGGACAGGCAGCTCAAAAGGTTTATTGTTGTCAGAGCCACAAACTTGACACCCCTCTTGATAAAAGACTTCGATCCCTGACCTCAGTAAAGTTGCTACTCTAGAAGCTATCTGCGTATTGATCTCCTCTGAAGGAGACGAATAGGTGTCTAGCAGGATGAACATCTCTGGGAAACAAAGTTACTGGTACTTAGAATAGAGCCCGAGTGGCCAGAGTGGGGACCCCAGGGGACCAGGCACGGGAAGGTGGTTTGCCTGGGTCTTTTAAGAGAAGAACTAAACCCTTCGTGAAAGCCGGTTGGTGAGTGTAGTTCAAGATTAGGAAGGTTGACCTGCTGGGATACCTTGACTAAGTTTATCATCTAGACTTGAAGACTGAAGAAGTGGAGTGGATTGGACTAGAATGGAAACGAGCCTGGACCGGGGCTCTATGGGGGTCAGATATCTTAGTAACCCCACAACAGAGCACCCAACCCTCACCATGTTAATCCTTTGCACGCTACCTTGAAGAAATGAGCCAGTGTTTCTCATTTGAGGTGAAATAGGGATAGAGAAACAGAAAAAAATGTTGGGGCTACCAGGCTACAATGCAAGGATGTGAGGATTTGGAATTTCTGGATTCAGAGACTGTGGATTTGAGTCCATTGTTTACCTAGAGCAACAAGAAGAAAATGGTGGCATCGTGCTTGCTGTGCTTGTTCCATGGGATCAAACCAGGATCGTCAACCTACCGTGTTGGAGGAGAAATTTTCTTTAGAGGTTTGCTGTTTAGCTGCTAACTCCATATAAGTTTCTCTCAACAACAGGAATTCAAAAATTATTTATTGAGCACCTACTAGGAACAGGACCAAGGCCTGCCCTCATAAACAGACAATAAACAGGTAAACAACAGCAACTCCGGAGAGGGATTAATGCTGTAAGGAAAATAAATCTGACTGAGAGCAAAGGGACGGGTGTCAGGTAAAGCCTCTCTGAAGAGGACAGATTTAAGTCAATGCCCAGGGGTGAGGAGTGAACTGGTTAGGAGTGGGTTACAACCAGGGGACCGCCTTCACGTGCCAAGGCCTCAAGGTCAAGCTCGGCAGAGCTGATGACCAGAAAGGCCAGTATGGCTGGAGCGCAGTAGGCAGGGCTGGCTTAGGAGAAGTTTCCACAGAGAACAAATTCATATAACACCCTATAATCTCTTTGGTAATGATGCTCAGTGCGTTTATTTCAGAACCTCAAAAGCTTTCCCCATGCTTAAGTGTACCCATCAGAAAAGCCATTTGTTGAAATTTATTTAACTTGGAAATATTGCTTGTGTTCATCAGCTAAATCAGTCAAAGGGATTTTTTCCCCCATTACTCAGTCATCTCGTTTTCCTCCTACAGGGACCCCAATCACCCTTCAGTACCTTATCACTATTATGAACCTTTCGGACCTGATGAATGTACAATGTACCTCTCCCACGAGCGAGGACGGAAGGGCAGTCATCACCGCTTCATCACGGAGAAACGCGTCTTTAAGAACTGGGCACGGACATTCAACATTCACTTTTTTCAACCAGACTGGAAACCAGAGTCACTTGCTATAAAGCATCCTGAGAATAAACCTGTCTTCTGAGCAATGCGTGTGCCAGACCGAGATCCCACGTACCTACTGTATCAGACGCCAGGGCACTGGACGTCCTGAGCCACCAGACACAAAAGAGGGACCAGACTGGAAGCAGGAAACTCCTCAGTAAGCAACATGTACAGATGCCTCTGAGGCGTGACTACAAAGCAGTGCGGTTGGTGTGTAAGGAGAAAATTCAAGAATTAATATGTCCCCATGAGTGTCATTCCTCTCAAAAGGGACCTTCGGAGCTAAACACTCGTTGCAATGATGCTGCCATGGCTAGAAGAACATTCTGGATCTCTTTAAGTATTGCCTTCAAAACCGAAACACGAGCAACTCAACAACGTTAGTTGTGTTCCTTTATAGAAATACCACATCGAAAGACATTTTTCTATCAAGTTGTATCCTAACCTGATCTATAATCTTTGTCATCCGTTGGGCTCTGTATGTGTGATTTGTAAAAAGCAGTCCGAAAGTCTGGACATGATTTCTGAAGAGCACATCTCCACTGACTTCATAAAGCAAATGCCCACTATTTATTTATTAAGAGTTTTTTAGCGTACTCTAGGCCAGTATTTTTATAGATGTTGATTATGTGCTAATCTTTCCTTCTTAGCTCTTTAACCCTGAATGATGCTTGGAAAACACCTAGAGATGGGGCTGATGAGTGACTACGCTCACGATGCTCATTGTTAGCATGTGGTTGGCTTGGAAATGTGACATTGCATTTTTTTGAACCCTTAGGCTTCAAGAATAGCTGTGACATTTTCTAACGTAAAATGCTCCAGATGACAAAACTGATAACCAAAAACGGTGTTATTACAACAAAAAGATACATCTTCAGTAATAGTTGGTGTAGGCTCCTTGGCGTAAACCCTAGTTTCCTTGTCTGAGAATCATGCCCCTGTACCAGATGACTGCGTTAAGTCTCCTTCCAAATCTAACATTCTGTAAGCCTCTCGACCCGTTTGAGGGCATTGCACTCGGAATGATGGGGTTTCCGCAGTAGCAAAAGCCTGATTTTAGGGGGTCTTTTTATTCCCCTACTATCTATCTCCCTCTGTGGTTAAACACATAACTTCCTCAACTGGTCCCCATTGGCTACAGTCTACCCCCTGCATTTCTGGTATTTCTTGCACCCAAAGAGGGGATGAGGGTTGGGGGAAAAAAAAAAAAACCTGAGAGAGAGAAAGAGAGCCTCTGTGTGTTGGTCCCTGGCTACAGGAGCAAGGAACAGCCCTTCTGAGAGTCTGTGAGAAGAGAACCCAAGTCCCTATCATACGACTCATTTATCCCGTGAACTATTCAGATTCCCTCGGTGCAAGTCTTACGTGGTAGTCCTAGCCATTCCCTGGTCTGGAGGAGTAAGAAGGACTCCTTCTATTCAGAGCCAAGATACCAGTATGAAATAGGACATTCATTTAAGCAAGTGATATTCTTCAAAAATAGTCTTTTTAAAAATATACCAGTGTGTCTTTTTTTTTTTTTTTTTACACATGACTTAGAAGGCATGTGGTTTTTCTGACGCGAAGGCACCAGCACGTATTACGTATGGAGACCAACGTTGTTTTACAGAATGTGACCTGACCTGGGATTAAAGATTTCTCACATTGCCACTTCCTTTGCCTTTCCTTAATTAGTCCTAAGATTCCTTTCCCTTGCACTAACTAGTACTACTAATTTTAGGGAGTACTGTGGTTGGATGCAAACACGGTCCGGATATTTATATGGCAGGAACAAAGTTGGGATTATTGTGGTGTAGCTTGAGCTGTTAAAAGCCAGTACAATTCAAATGTATGTATTTTTTTTTAATTTTCTCATAGTTTTAAAAGAGACTGTAGCATTTTATTCCAGCACAATCTCTTCTGCAGCATGGACTCTGAACACACAATACTTTATGAACATATGAAAAGGAGTATGAATTTCATGATTGATTTCCTGGCTACCTTTACCATCACTTGAAGACGTTATGTTGTTCAGATGTAAGTAGCTCCTTTAACAAGTTTTATTTTTATGGAAATTTGGAAAGGCATATTTGGGACATGCAAAAATGTAGCTAAATTACCTAATCTAATAATATCTCAAATGCCTGTGTTATCTTTAGGTTTTAGGATTCGGTTTTTGTGTGTTTTTTTTTTTTTTTAAAAGACCATATGATAACTCCATCTTTTTTGTAACTTCTTCCTCCCTCCTAAATACTCAGAAGAGCTCAAAGCAACCAAATTCTGAAATCCCTGGCTTCACTGGGAAATAGCTTCAATCTAAGCGTAGCTAAGATATGTGAATGTGGGAATTTATATTTTTAAAAATACGGTATAAATAGGTGTAAGAGTTATCACTTGGGCAGTGGTTTTTATTATACCATTGCAAAAAAAAAAAAAAAAAAAAGAAGCCTAGAATTCTGATAGATTATGCTGATGGACCTGGCTGTGGGCAATTGAATTCTTATCTTGCTGCTATCACTTTGTGACTCTCGGTCTCAACACCCTTCAACACCATTACACATCAACCCTGATATAAAAGATGACTACAGAAGCATGTTTACAGTCCTCAGTGATTTCAATATCCCATTGTGTTGGACGTCTTAGTCGGACTCGTTATGTTATACACCTTTTCTTCTTTCCCAGCTGTGTCATCAGCTACCGCCTGGCTTTTAAGACCACAGTAATACAAAGCCACAGCTGGCCGATCCATGGCGTCTGTTATTTCAACGCAAGAACATTTGGCAGAGGCCATTACAATAGATAGCCATTATGGGCAAAGATACAGGAATTCACAAACAAAATCAATCACTTCAAATGGCCCATAAAAAGAGGAATCTTACATTTATTATTGTACGGTAAATATTCATCCAAGAAAGCGTACATTAAAAGAACATTAGGAGGTAAATATTCAGTGTGCTGCGTGGGGACTTTGCTGTGTGATTTCCATTATGGTTAATGGGTGTTTGGTAACTAAGTCCCTGTGCCTCACTGACCCTGGTATGTGCTCCTAAGGGCTAGACATAAAACCAGGGTGATTCAGGAACTTCCAAGGTCCTGAGATTTCAGAGTGAGAGCTTGACTTTGAAAGAAAGGAAGAAAAGGAAAGAAAGAAGAAAGGAAAGAAGAAAGAAAGAAAGAAAGAAAGAAAGAAAGAAAGAAAGAAAGAAGAAAAGAAAGAGAAAGAGAAAGAAGGAAAGAAAGAGGGCAGCCCCGGTTGCTCAGCGGTTTGGCGTCGCCTTCAGCCCAGGGCGTGTTCCCAGGGTCCTGGGATCAAGTCCCACATGGGGCTCCCTGCATGGAGCCTGCTTCTCCCTCTGCCCGTGTCTCTGCCTCTCTCTCTCTCTCTCTCTCTCTCTCTCTCTCTCTCTCATTCTGTGCCTCTCATGAATAAGTAAATAAAATCTTTTAAAAAATAAATAAAAGAAAGAAAGAAATGAAAGCAAACCACAAAACACTGTACCTAGAAGAGAAATTTGTGTGTGGTCTCTCGGAATCCCTAAATTACTGCCAGGTATGTGCTTTAGATTCCAGCCACCACCACCACCTCTCCGGACAGATTACCCTTGTGTCCTGAAATACTTTGCATCACTGATCCATTTTGGTCACGTTAAAATTGAAGGATATAACCTCATTCGGGAACAAAAACTCACCCCGAAGGTTAGAATTATCGATTGGGAAGCGAAAGGAATGCCAAGTGGAAGTGAAAGGAACACGTCGGAATTTTGTCAGGATTAATACAGAGTTGTTGGAACATATCCGCACCTATTCAGTAGCCACCCAAGTATTTGCCCTTGTGTAGGAGTTGACCTCATGGAAACACACCTTGAATCCCACTGGGGGGGTGATTCAGGTTGTTAATTCAGACTTACTCCGAGATTCCTCTTCTGTCTGCGGTGTTGGGAGGGGAGGGTAACACTCCTCCACATTCCACACCTGATCCAATCCAATCATTCCTTCCATCCTCACTGCTTCTCTCTGAAACCTCAATCCCATCTTTCCACCTTCATGCTCTCCTGTCTTTTGTCTACACTGGGCTTTTGAATCAGCCGGAGGCTGTTAAGTTAGTCTGGTAGGTTTTTAAACTAGAGACCTACCTGGGGAACAGATTTGGGGTAGGCCCTGCGATGCAGTGACCGTAGTAGGTGGGAGGACTCCATCTGGCTACAGGACTAGGTACTTCACAAGCACTGTCCTTGTTTCCCCCAGGCTTGGGGTGGGGGGTGGGGGTTGGGGGGGGGACTTCAAGACAGATTTCCAGTGCTAAAACTAGGACAAGGCCCAGACAAACTGGGACAATGCGTCCCCCTATCTATCAAAAGGCCACCTCAAAGAGAACTAGAATACTAAGGCCTTGGGGGGAGAGTGAATCCACTGCCTAGGTTCTAGCACCTGCCAGAAGACACTGGAGTGGAGTGAGGTGAGAGAGGGTCTGTAGGCTTCAAAAACGAGCAGGAGTAAGCCCTCTATTGTAGCTCACTCATCCTCACCTACTCAGGGTATTGAGCCACCACAGAAAAGCAAAAAAAAAAAAAAAAAAAAAAAAAAAAAGGCTGCAATCCTGTTTGTTTTTACTCCGTGCCCTAATATTAAATGCTACCTTGGATTGTTCTTGTCTCTTTATGTATGTGTCCTATTAGCCTAATTAGATTGTAAGCTCTTTGCGAGCAGGGACCGTTTCTCCTTTGTCTTTGTAGCCTCGTCCCCAGCACAGTGCCTTGCACACAATGGGCGCTCAATAAATGTCTGTTGTTGATGACGACCTCTTCATGGTGGCCCGCTGGCTTTGTAAGCGGTGTGTATCCTTCCATTGGAGAAGTGCGGGAGGCAGGATAGGTGATGAAGTAGTTAAGTTTTAAGTGGGATTTTCCAGGGTCAGCCCCCAAACCTGTAACGATTTTAATCAGCCGGGCGGGCCTAGACTGGGCAGGATACGGAGCTGGATGCACGAGGCGTTCATGCCGGCTGCGCCGCACACACAAAGCGGAGTTCTCGCCGCCAGCAGGCCGCTCGCAGCACAAATTAAATTTAATATTGACAAATGCTGTACCATGTGTAGAGGCAGCCCGGGCTCTGAGTCCTCTGGTTCAACTACAAAAGGGAGGCTACGGCGAGATGAGTTGTAGCCTGCCTCCAACGCTTCGGCTTCCCAAATCTGCCGCCATCCGCTGGTGATTTCGGAGGGTCTGTGTCAATGAAGGGCACGTTTTTTCTTGAAATCAAAATGAAACCGACAAGAAGCCCCAAGCCCTTTTGCTTCCATGAGGCAGATCCCAAATGCTTGTATCCCTTCCAGAACAGGAGGGGAAAGGAGAGCTCTTAGGAGAAGCTGCCCTCAGGTGGAGCATCCCAGTCACCATCTTGAGTCCCCACCTGGACGCCATCTGGTGCCCAATTACCTCCCGGTTACAAGAGAGGGCAAGACGGAAGCCAGTCAAGGTGAGTCAGCTGCCAGTGGGGGCCTCCTCAAGGAACCATGACCATTACCTTCTTGAACGTGTGGACCCCTTGGAATCCTTCTTCTTTCATTGCCCGTTCTTCCACGTTTTTGTGTGACCTCAGTTTCATTTGTAAAAGTGTAGGCAGAGGGCTAGGACACCACATTAAACTGAGAGAATGCTCCTTTCTGAATGGACAGGATTATAGATCTTCCCACATTTTCAAAAATTCTATTGTAACCGCAAAACATTATTTCATAAAATATTAGAAAAGACATTGATAATAGGATTTCAAACAGAATCCCAACTGGGAGATTGGGAAAAACCTGGTAAATGCCGTGTCCAACTACACATAACAGAATGTCTTTGCTGTGTACATAAATCATCTCAAGCGTAACAGCTTTACTTCCGTACCAGGGAAACTAGTTCTTTAATTTTAAAACCAAACGTAGGTTTTGTTTTTCATGAGACTGAACCAAAATCTTTAAGATTCCATTTTGTCATTAAATACCTACTGAGTGGTCTGCACACTGTCACGTGCTTTGTATATACTTTTTCACAATAATCTGATTATCCTGTTGTGCAGATAAGTAAGCTGAGAGTAAGAGAAGCTCATCCAGCCCCCTGGGCAATGAAGATGAAGGTCACCAGGTGGCTTGCCATGTCCCAGGCATCCTCTGAAAGCTTTGTAAGTGCAACTAATCCTCACAATAACCCTAATAAATGGGTTCTTTTATCATTCCCCTTTTACAGATGTGAAAACTGAGGCACATCAGTAGGAAAGTTAGGTTAGAAGCCACAGGGTCTGTCTCTGGAGCCTCTACCTTCAGTCACCATGTATTTGTTGGCAGAAATTTAACCTGTAGATAGCAATTTCTATTAGAATATTGAAATACTCTATTTCAGCATATTCACAGGGTGTGTTACACTTGATACATATAAAATAAATGGCAATCATAATAAACTATGAGGCAAACGTTAGGAGAATATCACCACCATCCTTGAAGCCCACCTGAGTGTTCCTTCCGTTGTCTTGGATTTTCAATTTACTTACTTTCTAAATAGTTCTATCACCTACAGATATATCAATAAACAATGTATTAGATTCACATAGTAGTAAATATCATAAGACTTAGGACATTCCAAGCTTGCTGTATCTTTTTTCTAGCCATTTTCTCTGCCTGCTCCTCTAATTTATTTTCATGATTGCAGAATGCCAGTGTGTGGCGATACCCTAACTTATTTTTATCCATTCTTTCAGGGAACATTCGGGTTTTCGGTTTGCTGCGAGTATGTACAATGCTTTTATGCTCATTCCTCGAAAAGACTTTTAGTACACGTGTGCGAGAAGTTTTATACGGAGAGTTACACCTAAGGAATAAAATCACATGTGCTCGGTATCGCTAGATTGTTTTCCAAAGTGGTTGGACACTTAATACTCCTATCAGTGGCTGCCCACATCTTTGCTAACACTTGGCTTGGTTTTTTCGGACTGTGAAACCTTGTCCTCCTGGCACCTGTAAATTGTATCTCATTGTGATTTTGACTTGTATTTCCCCTCATTTCTTATCAGGTTTAGCATGTTTTCTCTTCCGTTAGCATTACCTCGTCTGTGAAATGCCTGTCCCACTTTTGTCCACCTTCCTGCCGGGATAGTTAACTTTTCCTTTTTTTCTCTTAAAGAATTCTTA